ATGAGCATGAAACTGAGCAAACTCAGGGAGGCAGCGAAGGACAGGAAGGCCTGGCGCAATACAGTTCATGGGGTCACGAAGAGTCGGACACGACTTAACAACTGAACAACAACTGCATGAACATCAGGCAGAAAACTTAGATGGCTTTCTCCTTTTTTTTTTTTTTGCTTAGGTCATTTTCTGGCTATCTGCCAGAGGTTTTTGTGATTGCAGGGATTGTGACAGCTGAAGGGGTATCAGTGTTCAGCTAGAGGGTGAATTGATTGCCCCATGTTATCTGCTCCTGTTTCAGCATTTTGATGCCAACAGATTGAAAGTTGGTTTCAATTTGGTCTGTAAACTTTCAGAGAAAGGAAACAAAGTAAAAAAAAAAACTTTACATAAAGAACAGTGTTACTGTTGGATTAATCAATGTCTGTATATAGAGAAAAGTTAGCTTTTGTTTATTCAACTATAGTGTAAACATTTATTTATTTATTTATTTATTTATTTATTTATTTATTTATTTATTTATTAAGTTTATATAGCCTCCCATCTCATGCCTGTGACAATGAACCAACTGTGGCATGTGATTAACCTTGTAAAGTATTTGAACAGAAAATACAAATAACGCAATGTGTTAAAATGCTCTTCAATTTTAGCAAAGATTTAAAGATGACCTTCTAATCTGAACAATCATAACATAGTAACAGTACTGTATATTATTAGTGAGCTGACCTAGTCATAAGAAGAATGGATTATTGAATTTATTAAGGGAAAATAAATCAAGGTTATAAGCAAAACAAGGATTGTAAAAAGAAAATAATAGTTACAAATATAAAAATACATTAAAATTTCAGTATATCCTAGAAATATTCCTGTACAAACATGGGTTGTTTTGAGATCCTTTTTCTCTTTTATCATGCTTTAAAATGTTGGTTCACTGAAAAATGGCATTTTTGTGACATACTGTCAGGATCTCTTCATCTTCAATTAGTAAATTGAAGTAAGTTAAATTGTAATTCCTTTCAGAACTCCAAGGAAATTAGTCAGAGCTGAAACATTTGAACTGGAAAACATTTTTGTCACTATAACTAAATTTGGTATGTGTAGGATTATTCAAATACAATCTGGGATCCTGTATACCATGCAGTGGGAGTGGGGACACTTACACAGCTTCACCAAGAAATGAAAGATGGGGATCTTCCAGGAAGTTATCTAGTTCTGTAGGCATAAACATAAGAGAGGTAATGCCACCAATGATGAGATCACCAGGTTGGAAATAGCTGTGAGGAATAGGGAGAGGATCACCAATAATGCAATTTCTCATGTCACATTTCCAAATTATATGACAATAAATCAGGAGTAAGATTATCAAGGTCATTGTGCCAAGTCTACTTCTATAGCAGAGTTTGTCTGATAATGGTTTAGAGTCTCCAACAATATGCTAGCACGGTCGGCATTACCATCCCACCCTCACACTATTCACAATTATATAAAACCTTGAATTCAAATTATCAGGAATGAACTTGACAGGACTTAATCAGTTCTTAGACTCAAGCTACAGATGAAGATATCCAGGGAATATTTACATTATTCAGAAGGTCTCAGTCCTTATTGGGTATAAGTTTGCCAAAGAGGCTTTAATGACAGGCCAAATTAATAACAGTATTTTTGATAATTATATATGGTGGGAAGAATTGTCTTTAGATTTCAATTTCTCTGTGATATGTGAAGAATGTGTTTTCTCACCTACATAGACATCTTTGCTAGCAGGTTAATACAACAACAAAGGATGTGTCAGTTTTGAATGAGCCAATTTGATAGAAATCAATAGAATGTGGAAGAAAATAAAAAAATATATATATTTCAAGGAACATGGGTGCTGGGAAATGTTGTTTCATCTGCAAAGACATGAACATTCTGAGTATTAAGCTAGAATTTCCAAAGGTGACTGTCCACTTAAAATGGTGTCAGGACAATTTCAGAGCAAAAGCCATGCATGTGGAGGCTCAACATTAATGATACTCCTTTGTGTGTGCATGTGTGTTTAAAAACAAGTCATTCATTTTATAGAGAATGGAAACTTTTTTGTAGGGGGGGGAGGGTCACAGTAAGTTGTCAAGTATGCTACAGAGCAAGGCATGAAGGAATGTATCTTGTCTCCCAGGAAGTACTCTGACCTTGATGCCTCTACCTGAATGCCTTCAGAGAACCCTAGTGTGTTTTTTAAATTGTGATTCTCACTTTCTCTCATATATCAGTTTGCTTTCTGCCGCTTGCTTCTCTCTGTGTATTCTGTGGTTTCATGACACCCATATTTATTTATTTATTTATTTATTTAATTAATTAATTAATTAATTTAATG